GCACATTCTTGTGACCAGAGCCAGAGAGCAGCAACAGCTCCCAGGGCTATGACAGTTGACGACAGAGATGCTACTGTGGCATCTAACACTATGACACACTTCTTTCCTCTCTAACCAGAACATTCAAATTGCTTGTCAGTTAAAATGCACTGGGTCATCCTTGGCAATGGCTTTGTACCTAGTAGCAGGGCCTGGGGCTCTGCTGTGTCCTGGTGACCTCTTACCCTAGCCATGGCAGAGAGGCCTCTCCACTATTCTTCTAACCTCAGTCTTCCCCACTTCCACTGAAAGGTCTAGGATGTTCTTTCTACACACACACACACACACACACACACACACACACACACACACACACACACAAACACACCTCTTCAACCTCTTCAGTGTCATCACAGACAGATTTTCCCAGGGCCCTAACCCTGTTCCTGATTCTCCTCTGGTTTCTCCAACAACAACAACAACAAAAAAAAAAAAAAAAAAAAAAAAAAAAAAAATCCTCAGCTGGGATCTAAGCTCTGATGTTGGTTGGGGAACATGGGGACACAGCTTCTGTCAGGCATGTCCTGAAACTGATACTCTTTTTACAAAGAAGCTATGGTGGGCTTTTTAGTTTAAGGCCTGGGGGCATAAATGAGCAACTAGCACCCACCAGGAGGAGAGGCTTAGTCGCTTGAAAGGATTCTCATCATGGCTTTTGTACTGACGATGCATCTGCACAAAGGCAACAGGGACCACTGTCATTGTCAGAATGTGTCACTCTTACTCAGGCTTACATAGACCAAAGGATCAGCTACAGAGAAAATGTCACTCCATCATACTCTTCACAGGAGGAAGGTGGTTTCAAATGAAACCAAGTCCCAGGGACCTGACACTCCATGGACAGCCAGTGTAATAGCCTGGGCTGAAATGTGGATTGAGTAGGCTTCAAATTCCCCCACCAGGGGGAAGACAAGAAAATGTCAAGCCCTGTGAAACATCCTAGCACAATTCAGGATCTTTTCTCTTCATGGTGGCACTTAATGACTGCAAAGATGGCTCAATCTCAGTGTGGGAAAGTCTATACTTTTCTATACTTGCAATTCCTCCTAACAACAGCAGCTCATGGACAAGACCACTGGACCAGACTTAATGACCTGTTCTTAACCAAGCCTTTCTGGTCCATTTATCCACATGGTCTCTATATTTCACCTTTCTGTCCATGCTGTTTTGGACAGGCAGCATGTCAAAATTTGCATAGTAGTTTCTGTCGCTTAGATTTCTCCAATATAATCATACTACCTTATGACCAGATGCCGGTACAGTAGTGAGTTTCAGAGCTACACTGTCTCTATCTATCTCTCCCTCCCCCCTAAGCAAAAATATCAGTCATCAGAGACAAAGGGGCCAGAAGTAATTGGATCCCACTGCCTTCCACTAAAATGAAGTCTTCCAAGCTTTCTTAACCAAAGTCCTTCTGCAGTTCCTTAAGAAACATAGTGTGCTATCCCCCACAGGCTGCCCCCCCCTTCTCCCTGCCCACACCTGTCTGTCATGTCTAGGCTTTTGTGGATACTCCTCCCTTAACCCAGAATATCATTTCCTCTCTCAGGATACCCTGTACTAACTCTGGTAGGCTTAGCAGAGGCCTGTCTCCCCAGGGAGTCCTCTCTGCTGCTCTATGCTCCAGCACAGACTACACCTCTGGGGAGCTAAGATACTTGCTACCAAATTTCTGATAAACAAGGCTTCCTTTCAGCCTGTCAATAAACACCTGTCCAGCCAGGCAGCAGATCTCTCCAAATTAGAGACTGGGTCCTAACTACCTAGGGCCAAAGCAGCTAGCAAAGGCTAGACACGCAAAGGTACCAGATCAATTATTGTTTCCTGAACTAAAGACTAAGCAGGATGAAATTTGCCTCTGCTGTTAGTGAGCTCCTGGCAGGGCACGGCTGGAGCCAAGATCCTTCTTCACTACTGTTGCTTTTTCCCGCCATGTTATGAACTGAGTCTTTCTATGAGCTCTCTGCTTAACTAGGCCTGGCCTCAGTGCTTCTTCCAACACCATGTACACCTTGGAGCTCACCCAGACTGGAATGCCTTCCCCAACCCATCCTCTTCTTCATCCATCTAAATCCCGAGTCACTAAAAATAGGGGGTTTTCAGAATTATCTCCTCTAAACACACTCATGCACGCAAGCACACATGCAATATCCTCTGTGAAGCATTTCTAAAAACAAAGGCTCCCACTGCCTTTTCCCAACTGCAATCCAAAATGAAGTATTAATATACACGACAGCATCTTGGTTCAGACTTCAAGCATCCTAATATGGCATTGTAGAAAGACAATCAGGTTCAAGGCTGGAACATCTGGCTCCCCTTCCTGGGGCCCCACAGATGGATTGTGGACAGGCTGTTTCTGAGGCTCAGCCTTTCCTCCAGTGAAAGGTAAACTATTACCCTGCCCACTTCACATAACTTATTCCGAGGAAACAACCCATGAAAAATTAAGACATTGGAAAGCCTGTTGTAAAAGTAACCAAATGACACTGTGGCCTAGTATTCTTGTGGCAAGTCCTTTGAAGTCAGGAATTGCACCTCAATTGTCATTTATTCCTTCACCTCTATTCTCAGGCCCACCCACCTAAAAGATGTTTGCACATGGTCATGGACAGGGTTATGTTCAATGTTCAATGACTTCTGAATTTGAGTGGGCCTTGTTGTTATCGTGGATCTGGAATCTCTTTGTTACTAGCTTCCCTCCACCAGATGTGCTTAAGCAAAAGACTTTCTTTTTCATGCAGATTGAAGATTCGCTTCTCTGAAATGGGTGTCAATGGTGTACCGCTTTAAGATATTAGAGTTGTGATGTTCAGCCTGGCTGGAACACCTCTTTCTCCTTCTCTTGATGAAGAGGCCAGCAATGTATGTTCAACACAGACCATTCTCTCTGCTTTGACCTCCCCCATCATTCCTTCCCAGGGTCTTCGTATGTAAGTCCATGAGTCTCCTAACTATGTGCTAAGTTCTGTAAGACCTCTGCAAATAAGATCTTATTCCCAGAGTGCAGTTGTGTGATTGGTCTCCTATGTAGCCAAGGAACTTTCATATTTTTAGTTTTCTTCCCATACAACCAACACTATTAATAACACCCTGCTTTCTCCTGAGATGATATGGATTAGACCAAATGGAAAGTTACCATGGCTACCGCAGTGTTATTTTGGGTAGGAGACATTCACGCCAAGGGAAGCAGCATGCATGGTCAAACTGGAGCAGCATTTCCGCCTTGTTATCAGGCAATCAATCCCAATTTAATTTTGAAACTCTAATTGCAACGGAAACTAATTATGGGCAGCACAACCTGAACCCCCTAATTAAAGTGGGAGTCAATAAAATGATTCTCTGTTATCATTGGGGAAACACTAGCACCATGAAGAAGTAAGTACAAGCAGATTGCCTTTCCAGGTAACCAGCTAAGCAAAACAAAACAGGGAGCTATCTGGAGGGTCCAGCGAGAGCCACAGTGATTGTGAGTAGGTCAGTGCTTTTCTGCATGTTCTAAAAGTTTCCACGTAACTGGGTGGGGTGAGAAATCTGGTCAGAAAGGAAGTCATTTCTAGCAAGAGGACACCTACCAGGATTGATCATGAGGGGAGGTCAAGAAAGAATAAACTGAAAAGCTGATGGTCCAAGTTAAGCCACTATGTAGCCTCTTCTGTGTGGGCCTTGGGGACATCCAAACAGGTCAGCACTAAGACCCAGACATATATGAGTTGATTCCTCATATACCAAATGCTGAGCTCATCTGAATTGACAGCGATTGGCTGGTGGATGAGCTTCTATTTGAAGGAGAACTTAACTGCCAATCCCTGAAGTGCACGAGTCCCTTTGGGACATCCCAATCTATCTTTAACAACTCAAAAAAAAAAAAAAAAATACTGTTGATGGCATGACATCATCTACCCATTTCCAGAACAATCCATATTTAGGTTGAAAACCATAGCACTCTGCTAGGCTCTGGGATAACACAGGAGCTCTGTAGTAAGTCAGGAAGGAATGCATTCAACCCTCAAAAGTTCTTGACAGAGAGGCACAGAAACGAACTTGCAGAGCAGCTGGGGGGGGGGGGGAA